GAGGTGGAGGATTCTCCTATGGTCTAGACTATACCTGCCTGAGAGCCAGAGTTACACGTCCGTCCATGGGCAAGATTAAGTCAAGACTGGAATCTAGGGTCCAGGACGGGCGTGGCAACTTTGGCTGACTTAATCTGATTGGGCAGGAATACAGTCTACTACCCATGGGTGGATCCTCCATCTCCAGTGCTGGAGAAACAGGATAGTTCACAATTCCAATCAGAATTTGCAACTTCCCAAAGGAGGAATTTGCCACTTGAGAGACAGAGAGAGCAACTCCTTCATCTAGGGCAGGGATAGGCCACCTTGGCTCTTTTATGACTCGTGGACTTCAACTCCCAGAATTCCTGAGCCAGCCATGCTGAGGAGAAAGGGAGAGGTTTCCAAGCTGAGCCATGCTGGCTCAGGAATTCTGGGAGTTGAAGTCCACGAGTCATAAAAGAGCCAAGGTTGCCTACCTCTGATCTAGGGACTGCAGACACATCAACTAAACCTCCCGAAGAAGGTACTTTTTAGAAATCGTCCTTGGTGAGCAGGGCCTTCATCTCCCTGCCAGTTTCCTTAACAGTGCAGGCAGCTCTCAGAGTAAGAATGCAACCTAGGTACAACATGTTAACCTATACTGTGTGAAAAGATAAACCACCGGTTGTGGCTTAGCCTTTGTCTGAATTCAGGGGACTATTTAGCAGCCATTAATTCCTCCAACAAAATGACATCAGATGCAGACATGGTCACAAAGCAGAGTCATTCTTCAACCATGACTTCATTGTCTCCCAACTACAGCATTTTCATTGGGCGACTACAAAAATCACTGTTTCTCAACCTTGGCAACTTTAAGGTCGATGCACTTCACATCCCCAAATTCCCCAGTCAGCAAGTTGAAAACCAGGCCTTGAACTAGGCAACCTTGGCTTTTATGACTCGTGGACTTCAACTCCCAGAATTCCTGAGCCAGCATGGCTCAGCTTGGAAACCTCTCCCTTTCCCCTCAGCATGGCTGGCTCAGGAATTCTGGGAGTTGAAGTCCACCAGTCATAAAAGAGCCAAGGTTGCCTACCCCTGGACTAGCGTTTCTAAGGTCCATCTCTATTTATTTGCTTATTTAAGCATACTCACGTATCCGTGGGTTCCTGAATAGAACAGGACATCTTAAACCGGCCATTTATTTTCTAACTTACCTTTTAGAATATCACAAAGATATGATAAAATTGGAGCTAGATATTGCCTCCAAGCACTTTGAAGGAACCAAGTAAGATAAGTACCAATACTCCGGGTTATGTTTCAGTTCGGCCTTCTCTTTCCCTGTTAACATGCCAGAAACCATCGTTTTCACCAGTTTGTCAATCGTCTCCACGACTTTCCTATCAGCACGTTGTGGGGCTATGCAAAGAAAGAACAAGCGCCAAACAAGAAAAAAAAATAAGAAGTCACAATAACAATGAAGATAGTTACTTGATGTCTTCCTGCTAATAAATTTATCACACAATTCCAAAAAGTGTGTGCTCATCACCATTAGCACTGGTAATGTGCATGACATGGGTTATGTTTTCAGTTTAACGCTGTACCAGGGGTAGGCAACCTGGGCTCTTTTATGACTCGTGGACTTCAACTCCCAGAATTCCTGAGGCAGCCATGCTGAGGGGAAAGGGAGAGGTTTCCAAGCTGAGCCATGCTGGCTCAGGAATTCTGGGAGTTGAAGTCCACGAGTCATAAAAGAGCCAAGGTTGCCTACCCCTGCTCTATACAATAAATTGTGTGGGTTATGTGTGAATGGAAGAGTTTGACTTTGTGCCACAGGCCACAGCCCCAACAGATATATATATATATATATATAATGGTTACCATAGGTACTTACCAGAGTCTCAAAAATTACTTAGAATGACTAATCACTTAATGGATTTTTAAAAACCAAATCCAGCTATTTATACATTTTTCAGTACACACTCCTGGATAGCAAAGTGTTGCATTTAACAAGCAAGTTAAGAGAAGCCTCCATGAAATTGTATTTTGAACTGGTGGGGGAGGGGGGGGAGATATTCTTTAACAATAAGTTTATTTTGTCACATCATTTTTCTAGACCTCCCCTCCTGTTTAGTCAGCTGGCCTATTTCTCAGTACAGCAAGATTATCACCTACTTCCCAGCACATAATGGCTACTGAATTTCTTGTTCAAAGAAGTTTATCTTTTATTTATTTATATCCTGCTTTTATTAACAGAATAACAGAGTTGGAAGGGACCTTGGAGGTCTTCTAGTCCAACTCACTGCTCAAGCAGGAAGCCCTATACCAGGGGTAGGCAAACGTGGCTCTTTTATGACTCGTGGACTTCAACTCCCAGAATTCCTTAGCCAGCATGGAAACCTCTGCCTTTCTCCTCAGCATGGCTGGCTCAGGAATTCTGGGAGTTGAAGTCCACGAGTCATAAAAGAGCCAAGGTTGCCTACCCCTGCTATACCATTTCAGACAAATTATATAAATAACCCAAGGCAGTGAATATACCTAATACTTCTTCCTTCTCCTATTTTCCCCACAACTCTGTGTGGTCAGGTGAGCTGAGAGACAGAGATTGGCCCAAAGTCACGCAGCTAGCTTCCGGGCCTAAGGCAGGACTAGAATTCAATCTCCTGGTTTCTAGCTTGGTTCCTTCACCCTCAGTTGGTTTGTTCTTAAACAGTGAGATTCTGCCATTCTGCTTTGTCTGATTATGCTAGGTCCTTTGTGTAAAGACTATGAATTAAACTTTTCTGGGAACTGAGGGAGAAGCAGAGGCTGCTTCATCTACTCCATGTACACCTGCTGGGAATTTCAGTACTACAACTCTGCACTTCCCTCTTCCTGGTTCTTAAAATAGACTACCCATTGCAGTGTTCCAATATCTCAGGGGCTGCCACAAAGAAGAGGGAGTCAGGCTATTCTCCAAAGCGCCTGAGGGCAGGACAAGAAACAACAGATGGAAACTGATCAAGGAGAGAAGCAGCCTAGAACTAAGGAGAAACTTCCTGACAGTGAGAACAATTAACCAGTGGAACAACCTGCCTCCAGAAGCGGTGAATGCTCCAACACTGGAAGTTTTTAAGAAGAGATGGGACAGCCATTTGTCCGAAATGGTATAGGGTTTCCTGCCTGAGCAGGAGGTTGGACTAAATGACCTCCAAGGTCCCTTCCAACTTTATCATTATTATTATTATTATTGGAGGCGCTACTAAATCAGGTAGGTTACAACAGATCAGAACATTTCGATTACGAACTACAATAAAGGCAAGGGAAAAGCACAGACCCACAAGTGGAACCCGGAAGCAAAATGAGAGGGGATCTGGGGAAGAAGCAGTTAACTGAATGCACACAAATTACAATATTCTTAAAACCTTCATTATTCCAGACCTCCAGAGGACTTCAGAGGCAATGGATAAAATTATGCTGTAGACAGACAAAATCCGTGCTTTCCAAAGCGGCCCAGAGAACAGATGACATTGCATTTGTTATCAACTACATAAATACAGGTAGTCCTCGACTTACGACCACAACTGAGCTCTAAATTTCTGTTGTTAAGTGAGACATTTCTTAAGTGAGTTTTGCCCCATTTTATGACTTGTCTTACCACAGTTATCAAGTGAATCACTGCAGTCGATAAGTTAATAAATCGGTTGCTAAGTGAATCTGACTTCCTCGTTGACTTTGCTTGTCAGAAGGTCACAAAAGGGGATCACGTGACCCCGGGACACCGCAACCGTCATAAATATGAGCCAGTTGCCAAGCATCTGAATTTTGATCACGATCATGGGGATGCTGCAAAGGTCGTAACTGAAAAATGGTCATAAGTCACCTTTTTCAGTGTCATAACTTTGAATAGACTCTAAATGAATTCTTGTAAGTCGAGGACTACTTGTATTCAACTGCCTCTTTTTTATAAATTCAGATTTAGCTAACATTTGATTTTAAATGACATCCCTGTTCTTATGGTTTATTAGGTTGAGGTTTTGCAATACGGTGATGATCTAAATATACAAATAAAAAAATCAACAATATGACAGTCATTTAAAGAGCTTAACTGAGGTGAGAAGAGGTAACCCTAATACTATTAAGTAATATGCTGCAATCCAGAAATCAACCAGAACTTTTTCTGTTTAGTCTTCCAAATCAATCTTCTATTTTAAGAATCTGAAGAAGGTATTTTTATTTTTAATCCGTTTGTATAAAAGAAACAGGCTTAAAAATTTAAAAGATATACAAACCCATTTCTGGATGATTTTTTCTGAATTTGCCTTAAAACTCTAAAAATGTGAAAAACGGGCATCAGAATCAATCAATCAGATCAATAGCCTCTTCTAAAAAGATACCAGGTGCAACATCATGAAACCCAACCTGCGTGAGAGTAAAATCTTCCCAATAAAATGACAACATACCTTGAATTGGGAATAGCTGCAACTACTACTATATAGCTAAAATAAAGTTCAAGAATAAAATGGTTACACTGAAGATAAAGAACATCTGAGTTTTCATTTCCACTCATTCTGAGATAGGCTTTGTTCCTCAACCTAGTGTTGAGGAACAAAGGGAGAGGACAGGATAGCAGTGTTCCAATATCTCAGGGGCTGCCCCAAAGAAGAGGGAGTCAAGCTATTCTCCAAAGCGCCTGAAGGCAGGACAAGAAGTAACGGATGGAAACTAATCAAGGAGAGAAGCAACTTAGAACTAAGGAGAAACTTCCTGACAGTTAGAACAATTAACCAGTGGAACAACCTGGTAAGGCCACACTTGGAATACTGCATCCAGTTTTGGTCACCAGGATGTAAAAAAGATGTTGAGACTCTAGAAAGAGTGCAGAGAAGAGCAACAAAGATGATTAGGGGACTGGAGGCTAAAACATATAAGGAACGGTTGCTGGAATTGGGTATGTCTAGTTTAATGAAGAGAAGGATGAGGGGGGACATGATAGCAGTGTTCCAATATCTCAGGGGCTGCCACAAAGAAGAGGGAGTCAAGCTATTTTCCAAAGTGCCTGAAGGCAGGACAAGGAGCAACGGGTGGAAGCTAACCAAAGAGAGAATCAACCTAGAACTAAGGAGAAATTTCCTGACAGTTAGAACAATTAACCAGTGGAACAACCTGCCTCCAGAAGCGGTGAATGCTCCAACACTGGAAGTTTTTAAGAGACTGGACAGCCATTTGTCCGAAATGGTATAGGGTTTCCTGCCTGAGCAGGGGGTTGGACTAGATGACCTCCAAGGTCCCTTCCAACTTTATTATTATTATTATTAGTTGTTGTTGTTGTTATTATTATTATTATTTCATAGAGCTAAAATGAGAGGCAGAGCACCCCAGAACATCACTCCCCATTGCTCATACGCTAAAAAGGTCTCCTTGCACTTAATTTTAAGTGTGATTTACACGACATTTCCACTGACCCTGAGCTGGAGGGCTGGCAGCTGGTCTCTTTAACTGCATCTGGCAGCCACTTTTCTGCAACCAACTTTGCAAAGTTTCGATATACTCTTTTCCAAACAAGGCAGAAGTGTCAAAATTGGGGAACAAGGTGGGAGGAGGGGCCGAATCCTGGATGCTGAGGGCCTCCAGGATTTTTTCCTGCCTGAAAGCAGAGGCCAGGGCGAAGGTTTGCCCCAGGAGGGCCAAGGATTTTCGGCAGAGGGACATCGTGGTCTGAAAAGCGGCGGCCATCTTCCTGGTGTTGCTGAAGCTGTTCGTCTTGATTTTGAGCTCATAGGCGTTACAGGCCATCAGCAGAGGCGTCGTGCTCCTGAGCAGGTAGTCCTGGAGCCGCATCATATACCGGTCAAAAGGCTTAATGACCTCAAAAAAGCTGTTCTTGGTCATCATCACCCTTTTCTCCAACAGCAGGTTCAGAAACTGGCTGTCCACTTTAGGTGTTTTCAGAGCCGGGTGCTGCAGCGTCTTGACGCTGTTCATACAGAAATCTTGGTGCTCGGTTTTCAGCGAGCACTTGAACGATGCCAGCATTTTGGCACAGGTCTCCGTCTCTAAGGTGAAGAGCACCTGGAAAAGCTCTGAATACTCCGGGTCTCTCTTAATTTCACAGAACCCGGCCCACTTGATTATCTCCACCCCAAAATTGCCAAAAATATCAGAAGTATCTAGAAGATCCAAGTCTGGCTCTTTGATCCGGACGTAGCCTGTAGGTTTCAGAGCTCCCTCTGGCTGTAGTCCCTTTTGAGAGGCCAGACACAGCCTTTGGCTTTGTTGGGGGCGCAGAGAAGGTAGGGTCCTTTGCTTGGAGGGACCCACCATATTTAACAGAAGATCATCTGCTGGGGACAAAGCTTTCGTGGCCCATTTCTTGAGATGAGCAGCCAACTCCTCCTTACTTGTGGCCAGGCCTCTGGTTGCCATCCCATGTTTCTCTATTCCCCTCCCGGCACTCAAAGAAGAGCTGAATTCTCCCTCCGTCTCAAGACCCCGCTCCAGGTCGTAATTCTGACTACAGGCAGTCCTGTAGTTCTCTTCCAGAAGCCGCGGTGATCTGAAGTCGCCCAACAGTTCTGCGGAATCGTAGTCGGCCTCGCGGCGTCTGGAAAGGTCTCGAACAGGCGTGCAGCCGTATTTCCGTTCCCGGGAGGCAGCACTGTCATAGTCTCGATCCCGGGAAGACGGGCCAGCGTAATCTCTTTCCAGTGCAGATGAATTTCCATAGTCTTGTTCATACGAAGGCAGCTGGCCGTAGTCCCGATTCCGTGAAGAGAGTTTGCTGCTGCTTTTGGAAAAGTAATCCTCCTCCTCCTCGGTGACATGGCTGCTGGACCTGTAGGAAGGCAGCGAGTATTCATTTCTAGCACTTTTCCTCCAGTCACCCCGCAGGAACGTCCCGCCGTCTTGAAATTCTTCCTCCTCCTCGTCATACTGGGCCCGTGTGACTGGCCGGGAGTGAACTGCATAAGGAAACAAACAAAAGACAGCTGCTGTTCACAGAGGTACCGAACTTTAAAACAATCAGCCTGTGGCACAGTGGTTAGAATGCAGTGTTGCAGGCGAACTCTGCTGACTGCCAGCAGTTCGATTTTGACCGGCTCAAGTTTGACTCAACCTTCCATCCTTCCAAAGTCTGTAAAATGAGGACCCAGACTGACCATCTAAACCGCTTAGAGAGGGCTGTAAAGTACTGTGAAGTCTAAGTGCTATTGCTATTTGAAAGAGTTGAAAAATGATGAACCAATATATCATGCAACACTGTATTCTATTGGAACTTTAAATATTACCTAATCAAGGTAAAACCCACCTGTTTACTAAATCAGGATAATTTATAGCTAAGCATAAAAGCCTACTTGGACCTATGTCTTCTATAACAGCTGTGGATGGCTGAAATTGAACATTATTTGTTGTTTTTGCAACACTTTCACGCATTTCGCCGACTGACCTTTTTGACAAATGGACAGAGTTATTGCACCAAAGTCTCACTGAATTCCACAGAGTTACCTGGAGTCACATCCAATTCCTGGGAACCTCATGAACTATTCCATATAGCTCTGCTGGCAACAATATATGATTTTTTTTGTCACTACTTAAGACTGCCCCCTGCTGAAGTCACTCCTTAATTCTTCTCATTTGTTCTGCTTCTACGTTCTGTGCAAATGTTGGCTTTTCTCTCAATGCCTTTCATACTGTTCAAGAGCAGTGTTTCTCAACCATGGAAACTTTAAGATGCATGGACTTCAACTCCCAAAATTCCTCAGCCAACATACTGGCTGGATCATTCTGGTAGCTGAAGTCCACACCTTACAATGGCTAAGGTTACACTGGCCTAGACTGATAGTTCAGTACATCCTCTTCTTTGATCTCCAGTTGCCTAGCTCCATCATCTCACATCCCCCAAAGTTCTTATTTATTGATTGATTTTTTTATGCCACCCATCTCCACTACAAGGTGAATCTGGGAGGCTTACAAATTATAAAGCAAGTAAAAATAATTAAAATATCAAAACATTAACAATTACACAGATTAAATTAGTAAAAACTGTACTAAAACTGAAGCTAAGAGATTGATGGGAACGGGGAAGAGGTCTTCTTACCCCATCAGACACCTCAGGTGCTGAGCGACCCCTCGGGACCGTAGACCAGGAGTAGGCAACCTTGGCTCTTTTATGACTCGTGGACCTCAACTCCCAGAATTCCTGAGCCAGCATAGCTATGCTGGCTCAGGAATTCTGGGAGTTGAAGTCCACGAGTCATAAAAGAGCCAAGGTTGCCTACCCCTGCCCTAGACCAACCAGCAAAGCCAGGTTTAAAAGCCCTTCTGGAAGGCAAAAAGGGAAGAGTCAGTCCTCTTCTGCCCTGGTGGAGTGTTCCACAGGAATGGAGCTCTTATAGTGATGGTTTGTCACTGCTTTTTTCCTAGGGTGATTTTTTTTTATTTTCCTATCTAGCCCCATTCTAACACTAATCAAGCCCAATTCTTCTTTGATGTCTTTTGCACCTGAGATTGCCTCCAGAATATCTCCATGCAACACTTCCCTTACTTTCTCAAAATGCATGCTTCCTAAAAAAAAAAAAGTTGGAATATTTTCCAAGTAACAAAAATATATATATCAGATTATGCTATTGCACACATGCTTCCATCTCCCGCTTCTTGTTGTTTCCATGAATGCACCACAGTCTATAAGCCTCTTGTGGTAAGCATCTTAGAAATTTATTTATTACTAGCTGTACCCGGCCACGCGTTGCTGTGGCTCAGTCTGGTTAAATGGAAAAGAAAGAAACGAGAACGCGCACGTTTGTGTCACAGGTGTGACATCTATATAATAGTAGGTACATAAAAACACACGCATATTCGAATGCAACGTTGTGTCAAAATTTCAAAGCAATTGGTGAAGAACTTTCGGAGATTTAAGATTTTGAACAAACGAACATTTACATTTTTATTTATATATATATATAAGATAAGATATGATATGATATGGAGGGCGTAATTAAAAAAGCAAACATACTGAGAAATTTTTTTTTAAATCTTACAGTAGGTACAGTAGGTCATTACAGTAGGTAATGGCGTCAAAGGGAGATAACAGATTAAAAGTCAGATCCTTCACAATCCTTAACTCAAATTTGGAAACTGACGGCCAGTTTGAAGTTATTTTGTGCATCAGGAAGGGGCAAAAGGATAGTAAAGGAAAGCCATAATAATCTGAGTTGAGATTGAGTTGACTGAGTTGCATCTCCAGGAGCAATGTAAGCATCACTGTCGCATGACCATGAAAGAGTGCTATATAAAATCATAAGAGCAGCATCCCTACATAAGATAAAAAAAAATAATTTTTGTTGCTAGGGGGATGATCACGTCACAAAGCCTTGAAGATGTGGTTTTGTCAACAGGGGACATGGGAGTGTGATGGAGCCAGTGCAGCGGTTGTGCTGACTGTCTCGGTGAATGAGATTATGGGCTGTGAGTTTTATGTATTTATTATTTTTAATACACCTTTATAGTTTTTAAATGATGGTATTTTTGTTTTTACATTTGTTTTGTTTGTAAACTGTCCATAGTCTGCCCCTCTCCTTCTCCCTCTCTCTCTGTATGTGTGCATGTAGGATGGATAGCTGTATAAATCTGAATAATGAATAAGATGCAATGAAAGTGTACCATCAGAAAAAGAGTATGATCACACTTCTACTCAGTCCCAAATATGTGGCAATAATTGATTTTATAAAGACTGGAAAGGTCTACTTCGAATCCTGTCAGTCAAAGAACTCCAACGATCAGGACCTTCTCTGCTGTAACGCCCACCCCTTTGAACATCTTATCTTTAAGGTAAGACTTGCCCCCACCCTCTATCCTTTCACAAGGACCTAAAGACTTGGCTCTACTGATTGGCCAGGGGACCAGATGGGAGAAATTCTGTGCTGGAGGTGGCTGCTAAATTGATGGCAGACTCCCCCTACCTCCCCCTTGCACTCTGCTCTCCACTTGTCCATCTTTTGGGTTATCCTATCGATGTATTCTCATTGGGTTCCTTTTTCATTATTTATTTTATGGTTCTATTATTTTATTTCTGTTCTGTTTGCACACCTTTTATTTTCTTCCTTTTTACTATTGTAAGCCACCTAGAGTAATCCCAGGGCGAGATAGGTGGCAAACAAATTTAGCAAATAAATAAGTAAATTTGGACAATCTAAATCTACCTCTAAGTTGATGAAGCGCCTCGTCGATTGGATCACTTCGGTCCAGATACCGTTTTGCGTTGGCCTGCATGATCGCATCAAAAGACTCCCGTGTCATCCGTTGGGAGGCCATCTTGACTCTGCAACTAAACGTGAGGAAAATTAAAAATATGCATTTGCCAGTGACATCTCTTTATCCTATGGCTTTCACGAAAGGCAGGTCTAAGTAAGAGTTCTAAATCATCAACCATTCAAGACTTAAATTCAGCAGAACTATTTTTTATGTGGGAAGAATCAACCACATGGAATAAAAAGCAAGAGTTGTAGAACTCTGGTTTACACTGAATAAACCAGTTTGTTTAGAGCACTATCTAAACTCAAAATCTAAATTTAGTAACACTGCTCTTGACTGCATCAAGCTCACTAGAGGGAGAAAACATGCAGAAAGGCATTTAATTTCCCAAAATCCCAATGCAACCAAATTAATTATTTTGTCACAAGAATTGTGAACATATGTCGTATGATTAATGATGCCATTATATTTAGTATGATTGAGGTGGGTTAAAAACTGGGGCTTCCAACAGAACCAATTCTGTCAGGCCCATAACACTACAGGATATGAAAACAAACATAAATTCCGGAAATCCAAAATGAAACTATAATAACCAATCAATAAAATTGATTAATATCTGTATATGTGACAATCGAATAACAAATGGTAAAACGTTTCGTACATTTAATTCAATGAGAGGACACGAAAAACAAGTTCAGAGAGTAGTATAGAAAGTAGGAATGTATCAAGAACCAATTTACATGATGTTTAATTGCAGACAAGACAGCCACTACAAAGAAAGGGGGGCGCGGGGGGAGAGAAATTGAGGCTTCTTGCCACAGCAAAGGAGACAAATTTCTAATGTGCAGCTCATACAAACATGCTGAATAGGAGCAACCTGTTTCACACACAGGAATTACTTCACTTGGGAAAGGAAAAGAGATTAGAGAGAAATGGCAAAGAGTAAGGGGGAAAAAAGTTAACAATTCTTTATTTACAATGCTGGACTTCATTAGCATCCATTCTGGTCCACACAGGTTGGTGTTAAGATACATCCTCCAACAAATGGGGAAGGAAGGTAGAGGGATGAATCTTTGGTTGGATCCACTCAATGTACGTCTTGGCTTTCTGAAATCATGATTTTTCCATAGCTGGGGACTCAGACCAGGTCAAAGAACTACTGCTCCTTTGTCTGGTTTTAAACCATATAATCAACTAAGAACCAAGTTGGTGTAGTGGCAAAGGCACCAGGCTAGAAAATGGGAGATTGTTGAGTTCTAGCCCTGCCTTAGATGCGTGAGCTTGGGCCAGTAACTCTCTCTCAGCCTAGGAAACAAAACTACTTCTGAAATCTTGTCTAGAGAGGTAACACATTAGAGAAACTGAGTGCAGCTCCTATAAGGCAGGGGTCCCCAACCCCTGGTCCGTGGACCAGCACCAGTCCATGGCATGCCAGCAACCGGTCCGCACAAACAAGCAAAGCCCCATCCGTGGGATGTAGGCAGCACACAAAACCACGCACTCTCCAGTCCATGGAAAAACCTTTCTCCACGGAACCGGTCCCTGATGCCCAAAAGGTTGGGGACCTCTGCTATAAGGTCCAGTAACCACCTCGAGACTGTAAAAACATAATTCTGAAGATACACCTAGTGGGGTTCTGCAGCCTGGGGCATTATACTGTCTGGACTCCAATTTGTGGGGAATGGGTGCTGTAGCCTCAAATATTTCACGATATTTGAATTATCTAGGATAAGCCAAAGGCTGGGAAGGGTACAGAAGAACTTAGGATTGACTATCCAAACGGAGCTCCATTGAGTGGTTTTAGTTATTGATGGGGGAAAAAAGTAAATTTATTCCTCCTCCTGAATTGAGGGAATGAAAGAGATGAGAAAGACAGGATGTTATTTTAATAATGGATCTAAGGATTTTGCCCTTAGGCAGTATCTACAATTTTATAAGTGTTAATCAAAAGATAAGAAGTATTAAGAGAATGGGGAAATACTTGCAAAAGCTCGTTCATGTATCTTGGGAGTGTCTTCTCTTAGGTTTAAATAACAGAACAGCTTCTCTTTTAACAAGCTGGAATTCCCTTTTCGATAGCAGGATATCTTACCCAATATATCCGAAAGCTTTTTACAATTCCCTTTGTTCTTTACAACCAAGAAAAAGCCAATAATATGTAGAAGACCAAAATTTTCCTATTTTCTCTTTTAGAATCAAAGATTACCACAAAGAAATAAATTGTAATAGAAAAAAAAGTAAAGTTGCAGCCTAGCAGTATTATCCATTGGATCTAAAGTAATTCACACATGGGCTAAAACAAAATTACTACAGGTAGTCCTTGATTTACAGCAGTTCACTTAGTCACCATTCAAAGTCACAAGGGCGCTGAGAAAAGTGACTTATGACTGTTTTTCACACTTATCACTATTGCAGCCTCCCCAGTCACATGATCAAAATTCAGATGGTTGGCAACTGACTCATATTTACGACGGTGGCAGTGGCCCGAAGTCAAGTGATCCCCTTTTGCAAGCTTCTGACAAGCAAAGTCAATGGGGAAGCCTGATTCACTTAACAACTGTTTTACCACCTTAACTGCAGTGATTCACTTAATAACTGTGGCAAGAAAAGTCATAAAATGGGGACAAAATTCACTTAATAACTGTCTTGCTTAGCAACAGAAATGTTGGGCTCAGTTGTGCTTGTAAGTTGAGGACTACCTGTATTTGATCAGCATGATGAATTTCTAATATTTGTATGAAATATTCATGTATGAAAACAATGATTAACAAAGAGGGTCAAGTGTCATTTGCAAAGATGTAAATAAGAGTTCAGTGGTTAGTTTAATTATCGGCCCTTCCTTTTGCCATGAACAAGGTATTCCAACTAGAAATAACTTTTACTGTTACTTTTAACAGACATGCCATATACCATATATATTATGGGTATTTTGAATCTTTGATTTGATTATTTTAGCTGTCAGATTAGCAATTACAATTATATTGAAGTTTAAATCCTGACTCCATGTTGAATTTTTGCAAAAGGCATTGATGAATATGGAAGTTTTCATGCAGCCCCCTATCTGAAGAGTCCTAGGTCACCATATCATTTTTCTGCATCATTTCTTCAGTATTGCAGGTAGAGGACAGGTAGTCCTCGACTTAGAACAGTTCATTTAGTGACCATTCAAAGTTACCACAGCACTGAAAAAAAGTGACTTATGACCAGTGGTGGGATTCAAATATGTGAACAACCAGTCTCTGTGTGGATGCCGCTTCCGGAAGTCCGTTCTGGGCCTGGGCAATAAAAAATTAGTTACTGGTTCTGCCGAAGTGGTGCGAACCGGTTGAATCCCACCATTTTTCACACTTAACAACTGTTACAGAATCTCCATAGTCACATGATTTACATTCAGATGCTTGACAACTGGTTCATATTTATGACGGTTGTAGTCTCAGGATCATGACAAGCAAAGTTAATAGGGAAGCCAGATTTACTAAACAACCTTGTTATTAATTTAACTGCAGTGATTCACCTAACAAATGTGGCAAAAAGGTCATAAAATGGGGCAAAACTCACTTAACAAATTTCTCACTTAGCAACATAAACTCTGAGCTCAATTGTGGTTGTAAGTACTACCTGTATTTAGATTTGAGTACAATGCCACTGAAATTCAATCAATTTTTGTCAAAGTCTTACATTTCTCATTTTTTTTGCAATTTCAAATTCATTCCCTCTGCTAAAAAAATAATTCTCAAAACTCACCAGCAAAGTTACTCACAGCAAATGCAGTCTCTCTTTTCAGAGAAAGTGAACAGAGACCGAGGACAAGTCCCCTCCCTGTAATACTTTGTTCAAAAAGATTCTAGATTAGTCTATACAGCAATGTTACCAAGAAACTTAAAAAAAAGAATGAATATGCATGCCAGAAATGATGAGGGTTACAGACATCCAGACGATGCTACCTTGCAGGGGAGGAACATCTGCAATAGGATAAAAAATCCAGAAAGCTTTTTAAAAATTAAACATTTTCCTCTCAGATCGACACCCGTATTATGTCCGATGGTGAAGGGAAAGCACTGGCGAGCGCTAAGAAGAATCACAAAGCCAGACAAATGTTAAATACAGATAGCCCTCAACTTACAACCACAACTGAGCCCCAAATTTCTGCTGCTAAATGAGACATTTGTTAAATGAGCTTTGCCCCATTTTATGACCTTTCGTGCCACAGCTGTTACGTGAATCACTGCGGCTGATAAGTTAGCAACCCAGTTGTTAAGCGAATCTGGCTTCCCCATCGACATTGCTTGTGAGAAGGTCGCAAAAAGGGGATCACACGATGCCCAGCCCACAGTAACGGTCATAAATCTGAACCGGTTGCCCAGCATGTGAATTTTGATCACGGGGATGCTACAAAAGGGCGTTAAGTCTGAAAAACGGTAATTAATGAAGTCCTATTTTTTTCAGTGCCCTTGTAACTTTGAACGGTCACTAAACGAACGGTTGTAAGTCGAGGACTGCCTGTCTGCCAATTTTCGGCACCTGCAAGAACAACCGAGCCCCCCACGAACAGACCCTCCTTTTTAACATTTATCCTACCAAACTAGCCACCGACTGTGGGCTGTAAAAGAGCATTTTCTGAAAAACCCTTCCCAAAGCCAGAGGAGCCAGGACAGGCTGGGTGTTTTTTTTTCTGCCTGGTCAGTGGATATCATTTCCTCGCCCTCCCTGTAGCTCCAATACACACGCCTGGGGGTCTTGAAAGGGGGGGGGGAAGAAGGCTTTATCTGCCATTTCCTCCCCCGCTCTTCCCCACTGCTCCGACTTCCGCTGCTGCTTTACCCCCAAAGCTTACCAGGCGACGGGGAAGAAGAGAAGCACCCTCGGCAACCTCTAGCATAAAGCAACCTCCATTAACCAGGGCCGATTTTTTTCCCCTCTTCTGCGCATGCGCCAAGCGCCTCTACCCTCTCGCCCGCCCGCCCCGTCTGCGCGCGCCGGAGCTTCTTCTCTGCTCTGCGGCGGATTTGCACTTTCTCTTTTGCACGCGCAGCAAGCATCGATCAGGTTCCTAACTCACCCGGCCCTTTTTTATATATATAAAAGAAAAAAGAAGTAAAAAAAAGCAACCCTTCAATTCTGTCCAGAACCGGCTTCGCGCGCACGCGCAAACAAGAGGATCTCGTTAATGAGCTAATGAAATGACGCTATCCAACAGCGCATGCGCAAAAAGAGCTTTTCCCCCTCGCCGTTTCTGCCGCTCCGCGCATGCGCGAAACGCCGCCTGGAAGAAAAATTTAAATTCTTTTTAGAAACTCCGTGGGTGGGAGAAATAAAAGCAATCTTTAAAAAAAAAAACCGTATCAAGTTATCTTTCTCACCCGTTTTAAAAAGAAACCAGAGCCGATGCTTTCCAACGTGCAGATGACAGTTATTTCGTCAAGTTCACAACTTTAGCCCACCACATCTGGCTTGCAAAAAATCCGGGCAACCATTAGGTGGCAGTAAAGAGATCGAGATGCTCGCTGCCTCCTAACGGTCCGCCGGGGTTCTTTTTTTTTTCCTCCGCAGTTCAGCTCCAGGAGGCTTCCATTAACGTCCGTCCCACCCTCCTTTAAAAACCCTGGAGAACCGTGCTGGCGTACGCATGCGTAGTTCAAATTCCCCTGCCGTGCGCTGCCATTGGCGAAGTCGCTTTCCCCTGCACCACGTGGTCTCAATTGTACGGTGGCGAGCTGCGGCCAAAAAGAACGCGTCGCCGCAGTTGCTGCACTTAACGCGTCTTTTTTACGCACCGCCGCGGCTTTGGGTTTCCTGGCAGTAGCGCCGGGCTTGTCGCGGGCGAGGACGAGGGTCAGAGCAGGTAAGCGAGGCTGGGGAGGGGAGGGTCTCCTTCGCCCGTCCGGAGACCCTCTTTTTGGGGGTGGGGGTCCCTTTGCTATTCCTCCGCGAAGACCCTAACGAGAAAGAATGCCATATGCTTGCAGGCGTGCTTTGGCAGGGTTCTTTATTCCAGCCGGAATGGTGAAAAGCCGCAGGCTTAACGTCAAAATGAAAAAAGTGGGTGTTTTTTTGCATAGCCTGGGAGGTGATTTTTTTTTTTATTGAAAATTTTATGAAAGTTTTACAATATACTTCCCCCCCTCCCCAGAACCCACCCTTCCCCTCCCCCCTCCCTCCCCCCCCACTTCCCAGAGCCAATCACAGGGTTAACAATACAATAACCATACTCTATCTAACATTAATCAACTATTAGATTAACAAATCTATAACATCCTTTAACTCTCTTTTAAACAAACATATTAAACACAATAATTATAACATCATATTAATAATTATAGATAAAGGGAGGTGATTTTTCATTCTCTGTGTTATTTCACTTCTTTTTTTTTTCCTACCAGCCCCGAGGGCTAACCTTGAGGTACCGTATCACATACACAGTACAGGTAGTCCTCGACCTACGACCGCAATTGAGCCCAAAATTTATGTTGCTAAGGGAGGAATCTGTTAAGTGAGTTTTGCCCACTTTGCTTGTCATATTTGTTAAGTGAATCATTGCAGTTGTTAAGTTAGTAACACGGTTGTTAAGTGAATCTGGCTTCCCCATTGACTTTGCTGGTCAGAAGATTGCAAAAGGGGATCACATGACCCCAGGACACACTGCAACCGTCATAAATATAAACCGGTTGTCAAGCATCCAAATGAAAAATCATGTGACCATAGGGATGCTGCACCAGCCATAAGTGTGAAAAATGGTCATAAGTCACTTTTTTCAATGCCTTTATAACTTTGAACGGTCACTAACCGAACTGTTACAAGTCGAGGACTACCTGTACATCCCTTTTTATTTTTGAAAACCTAATTCTGCTCTTTCCTGTCCCTTCTTATCCTCCTAACAACCTCACCTAACAACCTTCTCTGTTTTGAACCCTCAGCTGAATCTTAAAAAGATTATGGGGGTGATGACTTCCTAGGCCACAGAGTAATTTGTAGTGTATTTAAACTTCATAATATGATTTTTGTAAGTCTGTGTGGTCAGGGATTAATCAGCCTTGTAGGTGAGATTCCTGACAGCTGGAAGTACGATGAAAATAAAGTACGGTTCCTTTATCAATACAAAGTTGGATTAGAAAAAAAAACCAACCTACAACTATTTAGGCCAGGGGTCTTCAAACTTGGCCCTTTTATGACTTGTGGACTTCAACTCCCAGAATTCCTCAGCCAGCATGTCTGGCTGAGGAATTCTGGGAGTTGAAGTCCACAAGTCATAAAAGGCCAAGTTTGAAGACCCCTTATTTAGGCAAATCATGAAGACAACCTGTGTGGTTGCTGAGAGTAGATACTGACTTGATGGCACATAATCAGTTTAGGTTAAATATTCTTTTGGACACAGTATGAATCTAAATTCTAACAAATAGGAATCCACAAATGTTTATTGGATCAAACCTTTGGATCAAATCTCTGCACAGATAAGACTTAATTGCTAGGAAGGGTCTCAATAGCAATAGTAGCCAATGCTTTCCGCTAGCAATGCCTTACTGAAAAACATTTGCCTAATGTTCAGGAGATTAAACAGCTGGGATGTGTATTTTTGCAGTTTCCCCATTCTTGTGTTTTGTTGTATGTTAAATATCGCAAGCAGAAATATTTCATTTAATCAGCAGAGGCTAATATTTCAAATAGGTGTTCCCACTATTGCAAAGTAGGTATTTTTATGACATTATGACATTCTACAGTATATCTTCAGTTCTAGAGACTCCCTCAGCTGTGGTGAATAGTGGAAAGTAAGGTGAACTTGGGTTGATTTGCAAAGCCACGATTGAACGCAATGTGTTTTTTCATCTTACGTTTAATAGCAGAGTTGGAAGGGATCTTGGAGGTCTTCTAGTCCAACCCCCTGCTCAGGCAGAAAACCCTATATCATTTCAGACAAATAGTTGTCCAATCTCTTCTTAAAAACTATATAAAATAAATATCCGGTACACAGAGAGGAGAACTGAGTCTGAATACAACAAGAACAGTTTTAAAAAAAACATACTGTCAGAGTGGTGTATTGATAGCTTGTCATTTAGATACTATATTCTGATGGATGACCTTGTCTTTCTGAGCATGTCAGTTGCGCACAGAGAATTTCAGAAGCTTTTAATTCCATTCATGAAGGTTGATCCCAAACCTTAATAAGCAGCTTAATCCTTGCAAATAAATAAATGTAGATCGTTATGATCTGTAAAAAATAAGCATACAGTATATCTTTGGGGTCTTTGAGGATTACAGTCTAGTTTATCAGACGCATGAAATGTCTTGCTGAGCTATAAGTGTGTGTGTGTGTGTGTGAGACTGGAAAGGAGAATCATAAAAAGTGAGGTCAGAGAAATGAAATGCAGTAAGCCAAATGATAATAGCTGCATTATTAATAGTGGCTCTGTACGAAGACAGGCGATGGTGGTAACGCTTACATCCTTTCATGAGTAGACTGTTGACTATAGTATTTCCCATAATTTATAGCAAGAATTCTTATAAAGAATAAACTATATAATATTGGTTTCTGCAGTATATGACCGCTCTTCCTTAAAGCATGTCTATGCCACAAAATCAGGACAGAAATCTTTAATTCACAGTATTCATAAATGCAATGTGGATCTGAAGTCCAGAAAATGTGTGGGGGCAGCAAAATTGGAAGCTATTTCTGCAAACCATAAAGGTCTTGTTTGGCTGAAATGGTATGTCTTCAGCATTACAGCAATCAGTATACATTTGAACAGTAGCCTATCGATGGGTGATTTTCATTGTAATCCATGGTGCAAACGGATGTCTTTCCTTCACTGTGTTAAATCATGGTTGTTACTGAAATACAGATCATTTAGTGATGCTCTAGCACAGTCGATGTTAAGCCATATTTGGGGAGGAAATTTCTAAGATGGTTCTTCCTGCAGGGGTCACCTCATTGGGCATTCTGCCAAACCACCTTTGGCATAGCTTTAGCCTGTTTCTCTTGCACTTTCTTTTTTTTTGGGGGGGGGAGGCTGTTCTGGGGAAAAGCATCTTTGTTTTTCTGCAAAGGAAATTCCATTCCCTGTTGCCAGAGGTCAGCGTTGAACTATAGAGGTGCTTTGCTTCCTTGCATCAACTGAGATCAGTGCTCTGTCAAGCATGATACTGTCTCCTCTGTTCAAATAAAAGGCAAGTGGTGGCTTTGGGCTTCCTCCTTCTCAGCCTTTTCCAGCTACCAGCCATTTCATCAAACTGCAGGAATAAGATAAGATAAGATAAGGAACAGGGACCTGAACTGTTTCCTTTCCAGCTCTTTGTTCTGTTATTTAACTTTCAGACATGTTTACTTTATGCCTCTTTGTCCCCAGCTCCTTTTTGCTGTGCGCTCATATCTTTTTTTTTCAGATTGAAAAACCAGTGAATAGAACCTTATTTTTATTGATCATATGCTGGGCTTTCGCTGCTTCTGGAACCGTCTTCTTCAAGTAGAATCTGTCTGTCTCTCATACACACGGCTGGGAAGGCATATTTTGATCCCCTGCCTAGAGCAGTGGTTCTCAACCTGTGGGTCGGCTGGGGTAAACCCCAGCTAGCTGGTAAAGTACCCCCAGCGGTTCGTTCCGACAGGCGGTAAAAAAAACAGGCGGTAAAAAAAGGGAAAAGGCCGCCCACGGAATGGAGGGAACCCGACCCGGTCGACCACCAGCCGGACGAGGCAGAGACGGCGAACGGTCGATGCGGAGCCCCGGCGCAGGGGGCGGAACCACGCATGTGCGGCCCTCCCGGGCAGGGAAAGTCCTCGACTTACGACCGGTTGGGTAGTCCTCAACTTACAACCGGTTTAGTCCTCGACTTACGACCGGTTTAGTCCTCGACTTACGACCGGTTTAGTCCTCGACTTACGACCGGTTGGGGTCGCGGCATTAAAAAGGTTGAGAATCACTGGCCTAGAGGTTTAAGAATTGTGGGCCAGGAGGCAGTCCTCGGTTGCAGCCCTTGGTTATGCAATAGTTCCCTCCACCCTAGATATGATGGCTCCCTCCTAGCTAACATTTAAGAAAGCTGTCAAGATAGATCTTTTTCTGTAGATCTTTTGGAATAAAGTGCCCTATGAGCGGAGATGATTAGATGGGGTTGAGGATGATGTCATGTTTTCTCTCCCTCCCTCCCTCCCTTCTTCTCCCTCTCTCCCCCCATGGTTTGAGAGTATATGTTTTATTGCTTTTATGAAAATCACCGTAGAGTCTGTATAGGACAGTGATGGCGAACCTATGGCACGGGTGCCAGAGGTGGCACTCGGAGCCCTCTCTGTGGGCACACGCACCGTCTCCCCAGCCCTACCTCCTCCCACGGCCCCCTCACCAGCAGCCCCCCCCAGAGGAGAGTTGACCCTGGGCGCGGCCCACACGAAGCAGCGGAGCCAAGGACATGGTAGCTGGACAGCGGGGACAAGACTCCGCCCTTGCGCCCCGTTGCGCGCAGATGATGCTGCGGGGCACGGACGGAGGGCATGGCCACCATAGCGCTGCTGGGCTGCCTGGGTGATCGGTGGCAGGCCGTGGAGGTGGTGGGTGGCCCAGTGGGCAGGGCGGAGTGGGGACGGGGATGGGGGGCAGGTTTTGGGCACTCGGTCTCTAAAAGGTTTGCCATCACTGGTATAGGAGGTGAGCCAGGTTAGTCTGGAGTCTGGTGGCGCCTTTTCTGACTTACACATTTTATTGAAAACCATAAGCTTTTGTGAGCTGCATGTCACTTCATTGGATGCATTGGTTGGTTAGGGTAGAATCTCTGATGAAACAGTACAAATACTGTATAAAAACTAATGGAAAATAATTGCTCTAATAGTGGAAGAGCCACTCGGGGGATACTTTGAAGAAGAATCTGGCGACTGATTTCCTGGGTGTCGTGTTGCCTTTTCTTATTGCTTTCAACTGAAGGAGAGCAGAGATTGGGCTTTAAAACCTACCACATGAAAACAGATGTGTTCAACAGAGGGTATATGCAAATCCCTTTTACATCTGGATATACATACAGTATCTGTGCCCAGATTGACTGTGTTCACATAGGATGCTTTACCAGGCTGGAAAATACCTGGTAATCTTGGCTAGTACAGTACTAACATTTTTTTATTATTATTCTTTTTTGTTTATAGCTTTGTCTATCATGTGAATCCAGAAAAGGGGTTAATTCAATAGCCAGTATCGTGTGAAACTGTGTGTTGTCAGATTAGGCTGGTAGAAGTAGTTCTGGAGACAGTGAAACACCAACAAAGCAGGAACACTAGAAATGTTATGGTCGGGGGAGATGTTCAAGTTCCATACTTGAAAAAAAAAATTGGAACAATTTTTATTTATTAGGAAAATATAAATGGCCATTCAAGAGAATCATAGAATTGCCTATAGTCCAGTGGTGGCAAACCTATGGCATGCGTGCCAGAGGTGGCACTCGGAGCCCTCTCTGTGGGCACACGTGCCATTGCCCCAGCCCCGTCTCCCCCTGCAGCCCCCTCCTCCAGAAGCCCCGCTGGAAGAGAGTTGCCCCTTGGCATGGCCTGCACAGAGCAGCGCAGCCAAGGACATAGCCGGGCAGCAGGGACAAGACTCCACCCTCGCGCTTCATAGCGTGCAGATGATGCTGCGGGGTGTGGACGGAGGGCGTGGCTGCCATGATGCTGCAGGGCTGCCTGGGTGATCTGCTACGGTGGGCCATTGAGTGGGCAGGTGGGGGCGGAGCAGGCAGGACAGGAGGCGGGGTGGGTGGCGGGTTTTGGGCATTCGGTCTCTAAAAGGTTCGCCATCACTGCTATAGTCCATCTAGTCCAGCTTCCCATCCATTGTAGTTCCCAATAGTTAAGATATGGGTTATGGACTAGCATTGATGACGTTACCTAGTTTGGGTAATGAAACATCTGCAAGAAAACAAACAAGCTTAGAGAGCACAAAAGACCCTGGGTGGGAATGGATTATGTCCGTTCCCTTCTATTGCTCCCAACAACTGATATGATTTTGTATGTGGAACTTCTGTTATTCTAGAGTTGCTAATACCCACAACAAATATGTTCTGACTTCTAAAAGGTCAGCAAAATAAGGGCCATTGCCTTACTTTGTGGTGAGGAATGCCACTTAATTCATTATGTATAAAAATAGGGTTTATTTTCGTCCTGCACCATTGCATGGCCTTGAATTTTGGCTTTTGAGAGAGAGGGGAGTAACTATTTTATCCATACCTCTCTGCTAAGCTCATAATTTCCTGGCTTAATTTACTTTTATTATGCCAATCTCCTTTTAATATTTTTTTTTAAATTATACCTCTACATAAAATATCTAGCTATCTTTCTTGTCTGCAGGCCAATATGGCAGCCAAGTGGATTTCCCAAGAGACGTTTGATGATGTGGTACAGGAAAATATCGTTGAGTTTGGAATGGATCCGGAAGAGGCATTGAATGAAGCCATCCAGCAGTTTGAATCTCAAGGTACGGCATGAAGAAGGGGAATATTGACCTACGTGAAGTGTCATCTTTTTAGACATAGGCACCAGTTCCAACAATCACTTGGCTTCCCAGGAGAATTGATGCGGCTTATGGCAATCAGAACTACGAGACCAGAGGGGAAAAAAAATCCCCAATGCTGACAATGATCTGATTTTATTCTTAAAATAAATATTGTTAAAGTAATCTCAGTATATCAAAATGTTCTTGTGTGAACACAGTATATAGCCATTCCCCAAAATGCTGGAATAATTTTGAGCATCACCTTAACAAAAGACATTTGCCTTGCCCATATAGTCACCCCAAAGAGAAAATGCAGGTAGTCCTCGATTTACAACAGTTCGTTTAGTGACGGTTCAAAGTTACGTCAATGAAAAAAGTGACATGACTGTTTTTCACACTTACAATCGTAGCAGCATCCCCGTGGTCACGTGATCAAAATTCAGACGCTTGGCAACTGGTTCATATTTATGACGGCTGCAGTGTCCCAGGCTCACGTGATCCTCTTTTGCGTCCTTCTGACAAGCAAAGTCAAGGGGGAAGCCAGATTCACTTAACAACTGTGTTACTAATTTAACAACTGCAGTGGTTCACTTAACAACTGTGGCAAGAAAGGTCATAAAATGGGGCAAAACTCACTAAACTCACTTATCAAATGTCTCGCTTAGCAACATAAATGTTGGGCTCATAATTGTGCTTTATGGGGGTTTTTTTTGTTTTTTGATGTATTTTGTTTGTATCTGTTTTAATATGCTGTGCACCGCCCTGAGTCCTACGGGAGAAGGGCGGTATATAAATTAAATTATTAAATTAAATTAAATTAAATAAGTCAACGACTACCTGTAAATTACTAATTGATGATACCAAATATCTGAATGGTCAGGAAGTTCCTCAGTGAGGTTTTTATTTTTTCAGGTATTGGACAAGTTTTCCTAAAAAAAAAAAAAAGCAAAAAAAAAGCTATCATGATCAGTCTTTAGTGCAGCTTTTATCAGATTGAGATCTTGGCTAGCCTTATGGGACCTAAAATCCAATGCATTTAGAGGGGTACAATAGGAGAATTACTCTGGAAAACTCAGTCTGATACCTCATTTTATCTCTCCTTTAGGCGTAGATTTAAGTAATATAGTAAAGATGGTACCCAATCCAGCTTCAGAGAATGGCCAAGAACAGAAGCACGTGGTTTTACAGGTGAGTGAGGTGATGCTGTTCAGGAAAGGGCTAAGGATTGTCCATCAGATCCAATACATAGCTGTAGTTAGCTCATCTTCCCATTTGCAGGTAGATCAATGCAGGTAGCTCTAGGGCAGGGGTCTTCAAACTTGGCCCTTTTATGTCTTGTGGACTTCAACTCTCAGAATTCCTCAGCTAGCATGCCTGACTGAGGAATTCTGGGAGTTGAAGTCCACAAGTCATAAAAGGACCAAGTTTGAAGACCCCTGCTCTAGGGACTCACAAAAATAGCACTGTGGATATAGTTTCCCCTTTGTGTATTGCTTGCTCATTGGATACTAGATCTTGGTATAATTTGCCTTAAAATGTAGAAGCTCCGTGATCTAGCCTCCTTTAACCTGATATTGCACGTTGCATGTATCTACGTTAAAGTATTTCCAATGCCATTTTTCAGACAGACCTCATAAAGCGGTTTGCGTAAGATCAATAAAATAAAAAGCAATAATAAAACATCTAGAGTTTTTTTTAAAAAAAGGCAAAGAATGGAATATTTTCAAACCGGCTTTAAAAGTCTTGGGGTTTAAAGAAAAACAGAGAAGCAGGCCGGTGTGAAAAGCCAAATGCAAAACACGGAGAGAAAAGATGCAAATGAACAGAAGGGACTGAAGCCGCTGCCATCTGTGCATCCTTCAATTCTGGAAAGGCTTTTAGATGTTTTCCGAATGACTGCAGAATTGAGGAGGATGCAGTGCAGAGAATAAAGCGATATTCCACTCTTTTTTCCCCCTCCCCTCTTTGTCTTCTGTAGATATTGGACTGTCTCCAGAAAGCCGTCATCGATGCGGATTCAAGCAAGGTGGATGAATCTTTGGTGAACTTTGCCAAACAGTGCAGACAGGAGCTGTCGGTCCGTTATCTGGCTGCCCAGAAAGGTGCCTATCCTGCCGTCCTGGCGGCTTGTCGGCTGGCATCAGAAGAGCGATGCTCCCTTTTAAAAGCCCTCCAAGCCCTCTCTGCCCTCCTAGATGGCCAGCCTGACCTCCTGGATGTGCCCGGGCAGGAGCTGCTGCTGCGAGTGATTCAGGAGAGTCGAGATGACGCCGACCTCACTTTGGCTGGGATCCGTTGCATCCGCTATGCTTGCCTGAAACATGAGCAGAATCGGCAGGATCTTGTGAAAGGGGGCATCCTTGCCCTACTGGCTGAGGCTATAGTCCGGCACGGGGACCGGGCAGACGTGGTCCGGGAGGCCTGTTCAGGGCTCCGCATCATGACCTTTGATGATGACATCCGGGTGCCCTTTGGCCATGCCCATGATCATGCCAGGATGATTGTGGCTGAGCATAATGGCTTGGGAATCCTGATAGAGGCAGCCAAAGGTAAAAACATCTCCCTGCTCACACGCTCTCTCTCTCTTTCTTTCTTCATGCTCCAGGACAGGGACATCAGTTGCATAATAAAGGCCCACTATTTTTTCTTCTTTTCCCGGTGGTGGATTCTCTAGCTGCAGTGGGAGGAGGAGTGAAGAGACTGACAAGCTTAGATCCCCCTTGCAGAGACCCAGACCTGACCTCCCCCAAAATTCCTGAAGCCCTTATCTGGCTGTCCCTAAGAGAAAGCAGTCAGTCCAGCGAGATTCTTGTAAATAGGTTAGCAGCAATAAAGAAGTAATTCTGATCATCTCACGGTGTCACTCTGGTTCCCTGCCCCGACTTTAAACTGCTTTTTGCAAGTTGCTGTGGGGACAAAGGACCCTTCCCTTCCCCCCCCCACCCATGGGAAATTGTTGGGTATGTTTAGCTTCTATCTCCATATTGTTTAATAGATCTACAACACCATTTTATTTGTATTTTTTTTTATGATATCCCTTGGTTTCACGTAGCTAAAGCCATAGATACTAAAAAAAAACGTGACTTTTATTTGCATTTGTTTGTGAGCACTTCAGGGGCCCAAATTCTGAAGCCCTTCCCATGCTCCATGCTTTATGGTCACTTCTCTGGTGTTGCACAGATAGTCCTCAACATACGACCACTCACTTAGTGACTGTTCAGAGTTATGAGGGGGCTACTTAACCATCCGGATTTGAAGTTCTGAGGGTCATGACCCCCCTCCCCCTGCAGTCCATGACTGAACTTTGGGCGCTTAGCAACACGACCTCAATTTATGGCTGTTTGCAACACCCTGTGGTTGCTTTTGCCAAAAACTAACATTTACTTCTGGTTTTTTGGGAAAACCTCACCCATCGTGAAAACCATTGGTTTGCTTAACAACTGCAATATTTGCTTAATGACTGCCACTTTGCAGCCATTTGCTTAATCACGACTGCAGAAAAGGCTCTCAGTCGTATTGGTCACTTGTCCAACCCGTTTTATAACAGTCACAATTTAAACCATGATGGGCAGGCTCCATTGTTATCATAGGTGGAGGACTACCTGTACTGCACAGGCAACCGTACTGATGCTTTGTCTTTTTTTTTTTCTCTCCTGCTCAGCCTTCACTGATGACTGTAGTGTTTTGAGTGAAATCTGTGCCACTTTGGCACGCCTGTCTGTTCGGAATGAATTTTGCCAGGAGATCATGGACCTTGGAGGCTTAAACTTCATTGTGGCACTGTTGGCAGACTGCATTGAGCACCAGGTAGTAAAAAACAGCAATAAACACCAAGCACTGCAACAGGTTATTTTGTTTAGCCCAGTGTTGTGAACACTAATGGCCAGTACCGTAGTTATCTATGTCTTCAAACAGAGAAGGATCCTTCATACCCTACGTGCTTAATAAACTCTGTTTATGGCTCAGGAACAAGCAGTGCCATAGTTCCCAGGGATCTAACTGTTGGCTATCACCCCCTTCAGCAAGGCTGAAACCACTTAGGTAAGAAACTTACCAACTGTACATAATCCCAAAGGTGCTTTTTCAAAAGACAAGTGGACTTTTTTGTTTTTCATTGAAGATATTTCGCTTCTCATTCAAGAACAGAACTAAAGATGCTGGGATGGGATGTTTTGGGGATGTTTTGGGGACTGGGATGTTTTGGGGACTGGAGGCTAAAACATATAAGGAATGTTTTGGGGACTGGAGGCTAAAACATATAAGGAACGGTTGCTGGAATTGGGTATGTCTAGTTTAACGAAGAAAAGGACGAGGGGGGACATGATAGGCATGTTCCAATATCTCAGGGACTGCCCCAAAGAAGAGGGAGTCAAGCTATTCTCCAAAGCGCCTGAAGGCAGGACAAGAAGCAACAGATGGAAACTAATCAAGGACAGAAGCAACCTAGAACTAAGGAGAAACTTCCTGACAGTGAGAACAATTAACCAGTGGAACAAGCTGCCTCCAGAAGCGGTGAATGCTCCAACACTGGAAGTTTTTAAGAAGAGACTGGACAGCCATTTGTCCGAAATGGTATAGGATTTCCTGCCTGAGCAGGGGATTGGACTAGATGTCCTCCAAGGTCCCTTCCAAGGTCCCTTATTATTATTATTATTATTATTATTATTATTATTATTATTATTATTATTATTATTATAACAAAGAAAATCTACTTGCCTTTTGAAAAAGCACCTTTGGGACAACCATGACCTGGATGACTGAGAATCTCCAAAGACAAACTGTAGTTAACTCAGAACAAGTTCATTTGAAAAAGAATGGGTTCAAGCGGTTTGGCGCATTTAACTTTTCATTTTACCATACCTAATGGACAACTTGACTAGCTGACTAGTTTCCATCTCTCCTTTATTTTTGAAACGATCCAGCTTTGTCTTAGTTGGCTAATTGACTCTCCCATACTTTCTGTCTGTTTTTGAAGTGACCAGGGTGCTGTTAATAAGGGCATAGGTTTTGGTTGCGGGAAAGGAGGTATTTTAAAACACTTAAACCTATTTCAAGGCTTACATTATACTTTTAGTGTGTCTCCCACCACAAGAGTACCAAGAGACTGGAGGTGTCTGTGGCAAGAGAATTTGCAAGACCAAGAAAGAAGCCCAGTGGAAACGGATATCTTTTGACATCCAAAGTCAAGTGATTGGATTCCTATAACACTCTGAATCACATCGTAGCAGTCCTGGTCTCGCGTGTCTAAGAACAAGGAGGCCCACTGCGTAATGATTTCAAAACGGTCTCTCTGTGCATGAAAAATAAGTAGAGTGTGCACCCTTTGTTGCAGAGAGATTGTCTTTTTTTCATTGTCACTGGAAGGATGTAGGCAAAATTTTCTGCTCAGTTATTTGGTGGGGTTAAAAGTACAAAATGGATGCTTGGGGTCTTGCAGAATGATGTCACCCATGTTGCTATATAAAATATGCCAGAAATGGGGGACAGGCATTGATCAGCCCCATCTGAAATAGTTTTTTGGGGGGAGCATTTGAAGATACTGCTTTTACCCCTAATTTTGCCAAAACAGAATAAAGAATATTGGCCAAGATTACCTCTGGTACAAAAGTCACACAGAGGCAGGAAGTCCCTCAAATTGCACATCTGACTTTACACGAACAGAAATAATTTATAGATAGCTTTTTCAGCGGTAGTAATAAAAGGTTATCCACATTCTTGATTGTTCTATTGCAGGGGTCTTCAAACTTGGCCCTTTTAGGACTTGTGGACTTCAACTCCCAGAATTCCTCAGCCAGTGTGCTTGGCTGAGGAATTCTGGGAGTTGAAGTCCACAAGTCCTAAAAGGGCCAAGTTTGACGACCCCTGTTCTACTGAGTATTTCACTTTTATCAGAGACTGAAGGTGGAGAGAGGGATCTTGCTAAGGCTTTCATCCGTTACAGATCTGTAGCTCTTGCTTTTTCTTTTTAAACTCTTAATACGTATTCTGAGTTTCTTGGGGACTCTTTCTCATTCTGTCGCAAATTGTAGGAGCTGGTGAAACAGGTGCTCAGTGCCATCCGGGCCATTGCAGGCAATGATGATGTAAAAGATGCCATTGTCAATGCAGGAGGGACCGATCTCATTATTTTGGCCATGAGTCGCCACCTTGGCAACCCGCAGGTAGGTTGAGAACATGGGAGTGTTTGCACCCAGAGAAAGTAATTCTGTTTCAAGTGGTCTAATTAGCTGCTCCTTCCTTGGCATCTCTGCTAGTGCTAGTAGGAGACCTTGCTTGCCATCAAGTCCGTCTATTACAAAACCAACAGAAACACAAGCCACCTATTTTCTCAGTGGGAAAAATGTGATAATCTGGTATTTCCATTTAGGTTAAAAAAGAAAAAGAAAAAACATTTCCAGCAAAGGGATCTGGAAAACTGAATCTGAACTCTTTTTTATTTATTAAAAGTTTTATAAAAATTACAATATAAACCCCCATACCCACCCCCAAGCCCCCACCCCCACTTCCCAAAGCTGAACACAGGGTTACAAATATAATAATCATAATCTAACTAACATTAACCAACTATTTAAGTAACCAAGTCCATAACGCACTTTAATTCCCCTTTAACATAAATTTAAACAATTTAAAAACAATAATAAACAAGTTAACCTAATTGTTAAACAATACAATATTAATACTAAAAATAATAATAATATCATATAATTAAAACTAACAAAAATTCCACTATAATAAACTAAACTCTTGATAAGGTTGTATATTCATTTGGTACAGCTAGTCTTCAAATTACAACTGTTCTAAGTTATAACACACACATCCCCAAAGGTACTTATGACCCAGCTCTGAAGTTCCAATGGATGCCCCACACACACACACAAGTCACATGACCACATTTCAGGTGCCCAGCAGTCAGCCTGCATTTACAGCCATGGGCAGCGTCTCACAGTCACATGACTCCAATTTATGACATTTTTGCTGAAAACCGGCATTCGCTTCTAGTTTTCAGCAAAATGTTCCGTAGCAAATATTGGGCCCTAATGACTGCCAAAAAAAAGAGGTTAGGCTCCATTACAGTTGTAAATCAAGGACTACCTGTAATGAATGCAAAACTGATTTAAATAGGAATTATTTGTTTAGTTTGCTTTTTTAAATGCAAGAAATGGGAAAAAATGATAAACAAATGCAAACTGGGTTAATTTCTGTGTAATACATCTATGCTCGTTTCCCTCTCAGGAGTTGTGTTACCTTTTCTTTCACATCCCTGTTTGATGTGATGGTAGCAACTATAACAGATTTTTAAAATGACTAATGTAACAGAAGGAATAAAGTAACAGAAAGAAGTCTTGAGGGATGAAAAAGTATGACACTGCAAGAAAAAAAAGCTGTGTATCATTAGTTTAGATTCACACTGAGTTGCAGAGAGTGCAACCTTAGGCCTGTAATAGCCCACCTGATTATAAAATATAATGAATAGCCTCATCAGTGTTTCTCAACCTTGGCACCTTTAAGATAGATGGACTTCAACTCCCAGAATTTGCCAGCCATGGAGTTGAAGTCCACCCATCTTAAAGTTGCCAAGGTTGAGACACACTGGCCTACATGATTACAAAATATAATATTACAGGCTTATGGCTGCATTCCCTGCGACTCAGTGTGAATCTAAACTTAAGAAATGCAGCTATATATCAAATATAATTTATTATAACTTTCAAGTACCTGAAATTATAAAAACAAAATATTGGGTTTCACACATTGCACTAGCCTATGATGTGTAGTTATTTTGGTGTAGGGTGATATTTGACATAACCCTTGCCCCCTGCATGAATGGTTTAGGCCAGGCATGTTCAACCAACAGCCTGTGGGCTACATACAGCCCTGGACAGCTAGTAATGCGGCCCACACAATAATTAAAAATATTAAAAATATTTAAAAAATAATAATTAAAAAATATTTTAAAAGTAAAGTAAGTTTGTTATATGTATGTATGTATGCATGTATGAATGTATGTATGTATGTATGTTATGTATTATATGCATCCCAAAACAATTCTTCATTCAGTGTTGCCCAGGCAAGCCAAAAGATTGGATAACTATGGTTTAACCAGAGGTGGGGAACTATGGCCCCTTTATGACTGGTGGGCTTGCTCAGGAGTTCTGGGAGTTGAAGTCCACAAGTCATAAAAGGGCCATAGTTCCCCAGTCCTGGTATAGGCTGTCGCAGCTTGCTTGTATCCATGGTTTAAAAGTCCTGGGTGTGAGCTCAGGTAGTGAATGTTTCAGTATTTGGAAGCCGGATAGGATTTTGCTAATGGCTCTACTGCTTCTTGCTGTTAGGTGTGTGAACAAAGTTGTGCGGCATTGTGTATGCTAGCGTTGCGCAAGCCAGAGAACTGCAGAGTCATCATGGAAGGCGGGGGAGCCTTGGCAGCTCTGCAGGCCATGAAGATGCACCCCAGGGAAGTTGCTGTGCAGGTGATGTCATTATTCCCACACTGGGACCACAGCTCTTTTCATGCTTTTCCGCCAGTCTAGATAGATAGATAGATAGATAGATAGATAGATAGATTGATGATAGATAGATAGATAGATAGATAGATAGATAGATAGATAGATAGATAGATAGATAGATAGATAGATAGATAGATAGATAGATATGGACTAGATTAGACAGATGATAGAGATTTTTCATTTCTTTTATTTTTTTTCTTTGAAACACTGTTAATACTATAAGGCCAAAAGAGTTGTTATTATTATTTCTTTTTTATTTCCAGGGATGACCTACCACAGAAAAATGAGATAGACAGATTCTTAATTATGAATGAATGATTGATACGCGCACACACACACGGAGTGCTCCTTTGGCAAAACAGAAAAATCATGCTATAGAACCGATCTGTAGCTATGGCAACAGTCTCTGATTTTTCCCTCATAGAAATTTCTGGTGGAAGCTGCCTTCCTGTTTTTCCCATGAAAGGCATTCCTGTTTTTTTTTTTTTCCCATTCCCAGAGTGCTGTCAGATACCTTTTATGGGTTTTCGTTAAGGCCAGGCCTCCTTTCTGTTAGACCTCTCACCGTCCCTGCACAGCCTTTCTGACTTTCCTGTTTCTATATCTGAGAAAACCTCGTGGGAGGACTGTCCCCTGGGAATGGATGTGTAGGACGTGAGCTGCAAATAGCTTGAGATCGCAAAAGGAATCGGGAAACACCAGCTAATTCCTCTTGACTACTAGATCAGTGTTTCTCAATTTGGGCAACTTTAAGATGTGTGGACTTCAACTTCGAGAATTCCTCAGCCAGCCATGCTGTCTGGGGAATTCTGGGAGTTGAAGTCCACCTATCTTAAAGTTGTCAAGGCTGAGAAACACTGTACTAGATCAGCGGTTCTCAACCTATAGGTTGCGACCCCATTTGGGGTCGATCGACCATTTCACGGGGGTCACCAAGCAAGGCTGTCCGCCATTTTTTCCCCCTTTTCCGGCGGGTGCCTTACCTCCCTTGAGCTGGGCCAGCTGGTGGTCGGCCTGCTCCGTCTCTGCCGCTTGCCAGCTACGCCTCGGCCAGCGCAGGGGGCGGAACCACGCATGCGCGGCGCTCCCGGGCAGGGAAAGTCCTCGACTTACGACCGGTTGGGTAGTCCTCGACTTACGACCGGTTTAGTCCTCGACTTATGACCGGTTTAGTCCTCGACTTACGACCGGTTGGGGTCGCAGCATTAAAAAGGTTGAGAACCACTGCAATAATTGCAATAATTGCAATACTTCCGTGTCCTTCCCCTGCCAATTTTACTGGATTTGTTTTCTCTTTAAAACCAATGTTTAAATCTATTTTTAATTTTTTAAAAAATTTATTTATTTATTTATTTATTTGCTGGGCTTATATTCTAGACTCTTGGAGGCCTTTTTCTGTCAGTAAGATTTAAAAGATAAATAAATACTGTTGCCTGGGAGCAGAATAAGCACTCTATTTATATAAACCCCCAGACTGCAAGAAAAGAATTCTGAGCATACCCATTTGAAACCTGTGGGAAAAATCAGGTTTAATACCCTTTAAAAACCCGTTAGGGTCTATATATCGAACAAGCGTGATAAAAATGCAGAGTACTGCAAGTGTACTTGAGGAAGATGGGCAGTCTACAAATATGAAATATAAATGAATAAAGTATTCAGATTGTGACTAGTACCTAGTACTTGTTAAAGAATTTTAACCCTTATCCAAATACATTTGATTGTTATCCAAAAACCCAGAGGGTAGCTTATTTGTCGTTATCCAAATACCTGCTGGGGGTAGCTTATATCAAAGCAGTATTGTACCTACTCTTAGGAAATATAAACTATATTAGAAAAGGTAATTGGTGTATCTTGTATCAGGGAAATTAATTTCAGCCTTGGGAATCCTGGGGCAATGTGATGGTTGAATATATAAATGTCACTTAAAACAGTGTTTCCCAACCTTGACAACTTTTAAGACATGTGGATTTCAACTCACAGGATTCCTGAAGCAGAATTTCCCACTCTTAAAATTCCATGTTGCAATGTATGGCTGCGAAAGTTGGACCATAAGAAAGGCTGAGCGCCAAAGAATTGAAGCCTTTGAACTATGGTGCTGGAGAAGACTCCCGCGAGTCCCCTGGACTGCAAGGCAATCAAACCGGTCAGTCCTAGAGGAGATCAACCCCGACTGCTCTTTAGAAGGCCAGATCCTGAAGTTGAAACTCAAGTATTTTGGCCATCTAATGAGAAGGAAGGACTCACTGTAGAAGAGCCTAATGCTGGGAAAGATTGAGGGCAATAGAAGAAGAGGACGACAGAGAATGAGGTGGCTGGATGGAGTCACTGAAGCAGTAGGCTTGAGCTTAAATGGACTCCAGAAGATGGTAGAGGACAGGAAGGCCTGGAGGAACGTTGTCCATGGGATCGCGATCGGTTGGACACAACTAACAACAAAAATTCCATGGATGACGAGAATTTTGGGAGTTGAAATCCATATGTCTTAAAAGTTACCAAAATTGAGAAACACTGACTTAATTTGTAATAACATGGGTCCTCTCCTACCAAGTTTATATACTTAAGAGTTGGAGGAAACAAGGGGAGATAGATTGGGGCAGTGTGGATAAAAGAATAGATCTAAGAGAAGCTGGGAGTCTAGCCCTAGGGTAGCCACTGTGAGAGTGATAGATTGATGAATTTATTAAAGAAAGTTAACTTGAACTGTAATAGTAAGGGAACTTGCATAAAACGTATTTAAAGTTATTTAATAAAAGCTAGAATTCTAGTAAGTATACTGTTCTGCATCTTCTCTAAATTCCACCAAGTCATGCCACATCATATATAGGCAAAGAAATAAAGGAGGAAAAGAAAAATCCATAGCAGGAAAGGGTTTAGTGGTAACAGCAAAACTAATACATCCTTTAGAGCAGAGGTAGTCAACCTTAGCTCTTTTATGACTCGTGGACTTCAATTCCCAGAATTCCTGAGCCAGCTTAGCTGGCTCAGGAATTCTGGGAGTTGAAGTCCACGAGTCATAAAAGAGCCAAGGTTGACTACCCCTGCTTTAGAGCAAGGATCTCCAAACTTGGCAACTTGAAGACTTGTGAACTTTAGCTCCCAGAATTCCTCAGCCAGCCACATTGGCTGGGGAATTCTGGGATTTGAAGTCCACAAGTCTTCAAGTTGCCAAGTATGGAGAACCCTGCTTTAGAGGATCTCTAAGATTAATAGGACAAGAGTTTCATGTTGAAGCATCAAAGAAAAGGAGCCCAAAAGAGAAATTATACAACAGGTTATTGCAAGAATTCTGCTATTACACATGAAGGGTTTAAACTATTTTTTGGGGTGGGAAGTAATTTGGAGAATCAGACGAGTGGAGTGCAGGAAAAAAAGCAGGGCTAGACAAGAGTCCGCAGCTAGATTCCCAGGTGATTTGCAGTCCATTATCAAGGCCTGAGCAGTGACAGCAGTACTGGCCTTCTGGCTGTAATAATATAAATTGTTTAACTGTCCTGAACCTATCTAGACTAGAGAACACCAAGCTGAAAAGGTCCTAGCAGAAAAAAGGCCAATGGAGGAGAACCTCTACCCCAGCGGTTCTCAACCTATGGGTCGGGACCCCATTTGAGGTCGATCGACCATTTCACGGGGGTCGCCAAGCAAGGCTGTCCGCCATTTTTTCCCCCTTTTCCGGCGGGTGCCTTACCTCCCTTGAGCTGGGCCAGCTGGTGGTCGGCCTGCTCCGTCTCTGCCGCTTGCCAGCTACGCCTCGGCTGGCGCAGGGGGCGGAACCACGCATGCGTGGCGCTCCCGGGCAGGGAAAGTCCTCGACTTACGACCGGTTGGGTAGTCCTCGACTTACGACCAGTTTAGTCCTCGACTTACGACCGGTTTAGTCCTCGACTTACGACTGGTTGGGGGTCGCGGCATTAAAAAGGTTGAGAACCACTGCTCTACCCTGTTATAAAATTTATTTTATTTTTATCCCGCCTCTATTATTTTTTACATACAATTCAAGGTGGCAATCATACCTTATGATCTTTCCTTCTCCTATTTTCCCTACAACAATAACCCTGTGAGGTGGGCTTGGGCTGAGAGAGAAAGGGACTGGTCCCAAGTCACCCAGCTGACTTTCATGCCTGAAGTAGGACTAGAACTCACAGTCTCCTAGTGATTGGCCCAAAGTCACCCAGCCAGCTTTCACGCCTAATGGTGGGACTAGAACTCACAGTCTCCTAGTGATTGGCCCCAAATCACCCAGACGGCTTTCATGCCTAAGGCAGGTTTAGAACTCACAGTCTCCTCATGGCAGGCCCAACGTCACTCAGCTGGTTTTCATGTTTAAGGTGGGGACGAGAACTCATGACCTCCCAGTTTCGAGGCTGGTGCCTTAATCAGTAGACCAAACTGGCTCTCTCAAAATAAAAAGTTGATAAGACTGTATTAATCCTGGATAATCACATCTGCCTTTTTTCCTTCCTTTTCTCTCCAGAAACAAGCTTGCATGCTGATTCGCAATTTGGTCTCGCATACGCAAGACTTCTCCCAGCCCATCCTGGAGATGGGAGCAGAAAACTTGATCACCGAAGCCCGGGCAGCCCATCGGGACTGTGATGATGTGGCCAAAGCTGCCTTGAGGGACCTGGGCTGCAAAGTGGAGCTGCGGGAACTCTGGACTGGCCAGAAAGGAAGCCTGGCACGTTGAAGTCTCAACCCCCCTCCATTGGGCAGCACCTGTGGATGCGGAGTAGGAGAGGGAAGCAAAGATTGGAATAAATCCAGACTGAGCAGTTGAGAGGAGAAGAGTGTATTGATGCCTCTGGAATTGGATAGGACTTAGTTTGCTGCAGCAGGAGGCCCGTGATCCATACTCTCTTGCATTCAGCTTCTGGCCCAGGCTCCCCTTTTTTTGCTGTGTTTTGTTGGCAGCGTCCACGAAGCAGCTTTTCTGTCAAAAATAGGGCGGCAGTGCTATGCCAACGATGCCGCCATGCAACGACGCTGCCATGTTCAAGAAAGGGAGACGCCTGCAGCGTGTGTACGAAACTCTAGCGTCTGTACAAATTGTCTCAAAAGATTTTAGCAACAAAAGGGAGGAGGGGAAGAGCAGGTGGTGGGGGACCCATGTTTTGCTTCTGTCTTTGAATACTTCCCTCTCCTGCCCTGCAGGTTTGTGTTACTCAAGTAGGCCTTTGTTACTATGACAACCGTTAAGCTTACCAGCTTCCTGCTGTAATGCTTCCAATTTGTTGGAATATGCTGCCTGAAATCCTGATCTACTTTTTGTCCTCGGCCATTCCAGTTGTCTCCATGTGTCGTCATGCTGTTCAGCCAATGCATGCTGCCTTTTTATTTTATTTTATTCTAATAATTGTTCAATTTACTACATTACTATAATTGTTCCCTCCCTGCCCTCATTTTTTTATAATAGTAGATGTGTCGCCTGATGAGGGGCAAAAGAGAGGTTGAATAGTGTGGGATCCTGGCATTGTGCACTTCAAAAATATCTGTACTCCTTTTGAATATGTATTTAAATCAAATTTCTAGCCCGTGAGCGCTGTGGTTTGTGTGCACTCCAAGAGGTCAGAAAAGAATGACCTTTTATTTGTTTTCTTTTCCTTTTTCTGCCCTCCTGCCTTCCTCTCCCTGTGATTAGTAAAATCCAGGATGAATTAATTCTCCAAAATGGGACTGTTTAAATAAACCAGTGTAATTTATGCAAACGGAAATGGTTTAACTTTCCTTAATGTATAATTCGGGTTGCCTGTGCAAAAATTGCCAGATACAATATATAAAAATATACATGATCCTATTTGTAGCCAGGTTGCTTCTATTGTGACCTAGCTTTGATTTTTTTTTCTTTTGCTTATGAACCAGAGTGATATACATATACTTCATTCTGGATATTATTTAACCAGACAGACTGGTGAAATTGTTATATAGCCCAATGTTGCAAACTCCTAGGTTCTCCAGTAAAAACTTTCCTATTGCCTATTCCCTGATCCACATAAATTCTAGGATCAGTTCTTCTGCAAGGAAAGAATGACTATGACATTGAGTTATATTCCTTTTCCTAAAGATCATTATCTTCCCAGTTCTAATCAAAGGCCTGATTTAATCAGGAAAGTGTCTTTCATTGGGTATAACTAGGTCAGGGGTAGGCTGGCTCAGGAATTCTGGGAGTTGAAGTCCACGAGTCATAAAAGAGCCAAAGTTGCCTACCCCTGAACTAGGTCAATATTGTTTATTGTGTCAGTTCATTTTCTTACAGTCTTCCAGTGGCTCTTCTGTATCTGTTGGCTGATCCCTTTAACTGGAGATTTCCTGTAATCTTTTTCTGAAATGAGGCCTGCAGGAATCAGTATATGAGCATACAGGTGGTCCTTGACTTAACAACCAGTCACTTAGCAACCGTTCAAAATTACAATTTTGACCTACAAAATGGGAGCCACGGCCTGGTTCTGAAGTTCTAATACTTTTGGGGGGTGGGAGAGAGCATGTATGGACATTTGCAGTGTTCTGTGATCACGTGGCTGTGCTTTACAACAGTTTTGTTGAAAACTTGGAAGTAACTTCCAGTTTTCAACAAAATCACACCATAGCAACCAACTGGTTTGCTTAAAAACAATCGGGGATTTTTATGATCACCACAAAGAAAAGGTTGTAAAATCAGGTGGATTGTATGATCAACCCAATTTGCAAGGGTCACAACATATGACCATAATGGGCAGGCTCCATTGGGATCATATGTGATCCAGAAGCCGTGAATGCTCCAACACTGGAAGTTTTTAAGAAGAGACTGGACAGCCATTTGTCTGAAATGGTATAGGGTTTCCTGCCTGAGCAGGGGGTTGGACTAGATGACCTCCAAGGTCCCTTCTAACTTTATTAGTATTATTAGATGTGGAGGACTGCCTGTAGTTAACAGCACAAAATCTGATAGCTGAAAAAAGTCTGCTACAACAGCACTGGAAAAAGGGACTTACGACCGTTTTTCACACTTACAACTATTTCAGCATCCCAGGGTCACGTGATCAAAATTCAGATGCTTAGCAATCGACTCATATTTATGACATTTGCAATGCTCCCGGGTCATGTGAACACCTTTTGGTTTTGCGTGCTGCCTGCATCCTGCGAATGGGGCTTTGCTTGTTTGTGCGGCCCGGTTGCTGGCATGCTGCGGCCTGGTACCCGTCCAGGGACTGGGGGTTGAGGACCCCTGGTGTAGACTGCAGGACACACATCAGATGATAAGAGATTGGGCAAGTCGGTTTGAGAAAGCAGATATAAAACCAACCTTTTTCTCCACTACATGAAGATACATGAAGGGCTTTCCAAATGTTCTTGGTCTTACTAAATATTATCACGGAATTACTGGGATATTCTGTAAAAATTGGCCCAGCAGGTAAAATTGCCTTCTGATTGAGAACCCCAAGTGTTGTTTATTTGGGGAGGCCTCTAAATAGCTCTCCTTGGCTATTCACATTACAAGCTCAAAATAATTGTTAGAATTAAACGAGCATCTTAATTCACTCCCTTGTCTACCTTTTTATACAACACACTGAAGCATAAATGAACCACATAGAGTGAGTTTGCTCAACAGGCAGGCTAAGGTTGACTATTTCGTAATACTGTGTCATGCAGTCTAAGTGCATATATGGGTAAAAGGTTATTTCTGAGCCAAGAATAATCCTTTCTTAGTCATGGAACATGGTGGGTTGTGCTGAAAACTGGATTGGAAGGGCAATTGAAGGGTAGTGATTGTGTAATCTTAGAAAAATATGTAGTTTAGAGGATTCCTATATGTATTTCAAATTACAGTCTGTTCTTCAAACCTGTATAATGCCAGTAAACACCATCTTAAAACAGAGCCCAGTGTTTCTCAACCTCAGTTTAATATGTGTGGATTTCAACTCCCAGAATTCTCCAGCCAGATTTTTTTCCTCATGCTGAGGAATTCTGGGAGTTGAAGTCCACGAATCTTAAATTTGCTGATGTTGAGGAAACACTGCTTTAGCCTGTCTGTGCAGATTCTTAGTCATCCAGGTCATAGTTGTTTCAAAGGTGCTTTTTCAAAAGGCAACTGGACTGTTTTTTTTTGTTTTGTTTTTTGAGGAAGATGTTTCCCTTTTCATCCAAGAAGCTTCATCAGCTCTAATGAGCTCCAACGAAGCTCCTTGAATGAGAAGCAAAACGTTGTCCTCAAGGAAAAAACAGTCCAGTTGCCTTTTGGAAAAAAAACACCTTTGAGATCGCCATAGTCTATTTTGACTTGTGAGGCAGCATAATAATTAAGTAGCCAGGTCGCCCCACCCAACATCCAACCTATGAGGTTTCTAGTGTCTTCATAATCACAGCAAATACATTCCACTCTTTCTTTTTTCCACGCTCCCTCTGTCTTTGGCACAAAAGAGGAAAGCAGAATTTTAATGGAAACCATCCATTTCTGAAAAATATTCCACATCCCCCAAGGAGCTGTCTCCTGACTCTCCCCAGAGATGGATCACCAATATCATGGTGGCCTGGGGTGGATGCGGCTGCTGCGTTGAGTGAGCCACAGTCTTAGCCGAGAGGTCAACGGCTGCCGGCTGCCTCCTGTTTCCGTTTCACCGCTGGTACTAGGCTGCGGCTGTGCTGATGGTGGTTTCTTGAAGATCTTCCAGACCCAGGAGACGATGATGTGGAGGCTGAGACGGGAGGAGGCGGTGTGGGGCTTTGCAGAACTGGGGGGAGACTCAGCTGCTACAGTGGAGGTCACAGCAGAAGGCAGCTGCTGAGGGCTGGGGCTCTTTTTTTCTTTTGCAGGTTGCACCTGTTAAGACAATGAAAAAGCTACTTTCAACATCTGTCCATTAAAATCATGAATCTGCTCCACCTTTGGCATTTGTTGGCACGACCTTGTCTCCAACCTGGATTGTGTGGTGTACACCAGCATAGAGTCCCTGATAATCAAAGCCCAGATGAGACACGTGGGATACATCATCAGAATGGGTGACCGTCGTATGCCTCACCCTGTTGTTCTGTGGTGGACGCTGGAAAAAGACCTCAAGGTCATCCACCCAATCGCTACAAAGGTGTTGTGAAGGAAACCCTACATTACTGTGATATCCAGCCAGGAGAACTAGAAGCTTTATCAGCTGACAGAACCCACTGGTGAGATCTACAGTATGTTGTGAGGCCTACACCAATTTTGAAGACAGAGACCACCAAAAACTGATGGAAAACTCTGAGTGGCATCACAGAGCAACACACTCATTGCTATTGTAACGATGGCCTTCCAATGTTAGACTCTGCACTTCTACAGCTACTTCTGTGTTCACAGATGAGCTAAACAACAGTGCGTCTTCTTCAGATCAGTGCATCTCTCCACTGGAAACTCCTTCCAACTTTCTGCTCAAGGGATTCCAGAAAAAAGGTAACTCCTTGAAGGAACTGTGAAGCTAGTTGCACGTTCTGGGTCTAGAAGTACATTCAAATAGCTTCATAATTCTTTGCAAGAGTTGAACACAACTGAATGGATAACATCATCATCATCAATTGGACGTTCTGGGTCTAGACCGGGGTAGGCAACCTTGGCTCTTTTATGGCTCGTGGACTTCAACTCCCAGAATTCCTGAGGCAGCATGGCTCAGCTTGGAAACTCTCCCCTCAGCATGGCTGGCTCAGGAATTCTGGGAGTTGAAGTCCACGAGTCATAAAAGAGCCAAGGTTGCCTACCCCTGGTCTAGACTTAGCAATAGAAAGCTTCTCAACAGATCCCAAACTAAACAAAAGCAAAGAGTGGTTCTTTACATGTGTAATGAGGAAATGAACAGTTTTCTTAGCTGGTCTTGAATATATAGGTTTTCTAAATAGATACATGTATGACTCAGGGCAACCTACAATTAAAAATAAGACAGGACTATT